ACTTTAATATTTCCTGATGTTATTTGATATTTTTTTGTAATCAAGATTTTATCTTATAACGTGACACTGTTATTTCTGCTATAAATCTCAATCGACATTGATATGTGGTAAAGTAAATGAGTAAATGTTATAAAAAATAAGAACAATGTTTGAAATCTGACTTCAACCCTGTAAATAGGGCGATATTTTACGGCCGCAACATAATAAAAAAATGAACCTTGTCAAAATCAAATCTTTACTAAGTCTTAAGCAGTAACGTTTAAGTAAGTTTATAACGCTTGTTAAAGTCTTGTCATTGATAGATTATTTTGATTAGTTTTTGATTTAATTTTTTTTACATGTACCTTTACATAACCTGAGAACGGCACACGTCCAGGAAATAAAATTAGTATCTAAAAAACCTAAACCGATGACTAAATTTAAGAGTAACAATATATAACTTATAAATTTGTGGAAATACAAGAACAAATTATAATTTGTGGAAATACAAGAACAAATTATAATTACTGGGCGATATTTTACGGCCACAACGTATAGCTAAAAATTTGCTGTGGGAGTAATAAACAATCAACAAATCATAGATAACCGCTGATATTAGTATAAATTAATTTAACCTCAATGGTTGCGCTAGATGTCTTTTTGTGTCTTTTACTGTTGGACGGAAATATTGTAGATATTTTCAAGAGTTGTGACACAAAAACCATAAACATAGAGCAAAGTCATTCCTTGAAAATCTTTTTAGTATATTTATTCTAACTCTGTTACAAATATAGATTTAAAGTTTACAAGTGTATTGTTTTACAAACCATTGTTTTTGTTGTTAAAAATCATTTCAACATTCAATTCTGATAAAACGAAAACATATCTTCATCGAATCGTCTTCAAGATATTTACACTTTACACGGGTATATTAATATATGAGCCGCGTCACGACAAAACCAACGTTAAGCGTTTGCGACGAGCAAAGATCCAGAACAGCCTGCGCATCCGCGCAGTCTGATCAGGATCCATGATGTTCGCTATCAGTTTCTCTACTTGTAATAAATAGGCGCAGGCTGGTCTGGATCCATGCTGGTCGCAAACGCATTACGTTGGTTTTGTCGTGACGCGGCTCATATTATTTTTTTGCTGCGTGACTCATATACTCTTATCTCACTTTATATTGTATTTGAGAGGTCTCTTAACTTGAAACTGTTCAAGCATAAATTAATTAACTAAAGGTACATACATATATAGTTACATGTGAGCACTTGTAACCAATGATAATAATAACATATTAAATGTAAGAATTTATAAAATTTTTATGTAAATATAGTAAAAATTTTTTTGTCCCTTTGTATTTAAGAATGTCAAAAAAAATTTATTAAGGGAGCTGTTTCTGGTTTCCCAAATCCATTGTAGTTTTTAAATTTGGCATACTGCATCGAAACCACCATTTTAAATTTAAAAAAATAACAAAATTTGGGTTAAAAATTTTTTTTTTTTATTATAGTCCACTTTCCTTTACAAATTATAACAATTTTTTTAAAACCCATAAACGAAAGCATTGATCCGTTCCAGAGCAACCAGTCCAAAGGTTAAAAAATTTTTTAAAAAAACAGGGGCCCATACTTTTTAAAAATCGGCCACGATCTTAAATTTACATAAACCAACCATAACCCTCCAAAATGTCACCAAATTAATTTTAAAAATTTAATTTTTAAAAAAAATTTCCCTAACGCTTAATAAATTAAAATTGCAAAATTTAAATAAACAACTTATCTTTTTAATAATGGTCATTGATTTTTTCATTCTACCATAGTTACATGTTTAATGTCTTTTGTTTTTTTGTTTTATTTAGGTTTTACGTCGAAACAGTATAGGTCATATCGCGACGTTACAGCTTTACTGGTGGAGGAAGGCCTCGGGTGCCCCTCCGTGCATTATTTCAGGCACTAACGGGCACCTGAGTAGAACCACCGACGTTCCGTAAGCTAGTTAAATAGCTTCCTCACATGAAAGAATCAAAAGTCCTTGTCGGGATTCTAACCCACAGCTGTGAGGGGCAAGTGGTTTGAAGTCAACGACCTTAACCACTCGGCCACGGACGCCCCATAATTGCATGTACTGCTGGGTACACATGTATATGAATATCACTACTAAGTGTAACTTAAGACATACAAAAATTGAGAGTCAGCGAACTAAATTTGAATGATTATTCAGAACAGTAAGATTTAAAAATATGTGTTTTCTTGTAAACGATTGAAAAAGAAATCGTTATAATGTGATTTCACGAGTAAAGCAAAAAGATCAAAACTATACATACACTAGCGCCACCACGACCTGAAAGAAACGCAATTATAATAATTAATGAACATAATTTTATATGTATTTTCTAAATAACTTAATTAAAATAAAAAAGAATGTAATATATAATATATGTAAAAACAACAAACAACAAAATCAAGTAAACAATTATATTGCCTCCCATTTATTATTTTACGGTGAATAGATGTTTAACATACTTATAATAAAAAGTAAAAACAAACAAACAAACAAACAACAGTATGTTTCCTCCGATTTATTATGATATAGTTAAAATATGTTGAACATACCTGATCCAAGTTGAGGAAGCCCCCCTCTGTTGGACCTGAAAAAAATCATATCAATTCTTGTTTATTCTTAAAACAAAAAAACAAACACGCAAGTAAGTAAGTTAGCTGGATAAAGAATCTAAAGTTCCTAGAGAGATTCGAACTCCCAGCGGCGAAGCGACAAGTCATTGTCAACGAGCTTTAAATGATAATACAACATAAAATTATTGTGATAATTCTTACCTGCCGTAACTTCCATAGGGATTACGTCCTTCTGAAATCAAATGAAAAACAAATGTCATAAAACAATGTTAATTTAGTTCTATTTTTACATAATGTGACATGTTTAAAACAGATCTCAGTAATTGTTATATAATGTGCAATGTATATCAAGAATTTAATGGTGTGTGTACTTTGGTTATTTTAAAGGGACTCCGCTAAAGTTATTTTGACATGACTGGACTGGAAATAAGTTTTCAAGATTAACGTTCCAATGCTGTAGGGTTAGACCAATAATTTTTGTGCAAAATTTCAGACCATTAACTCACTACGTATACGTTTTTCTGGAATGATCATTCTTATTGTGAAAACGCTTTTCAATCAAATCGGACGGAGAATAGCACAAAAATACGATTTTATCTTAATCATATTTTGCAAATCTTTCTGATTTAAATGTCACAGCTGATCCATGTACGAAATTCAAATTTTATGTTTTTTATGCATTTGAACCTCAGTACAGTAGAGTTCCTTTAAAACGTATAACACGGCGTAAACGACTTGAAATACAAGCTTGACTTTAGAACGTAATTGCTGGAATTCATGTTGACAGAATAAAAAAAAATTGAAACTGATCAAATTCATAAATTAACGATTTATATAAGGTACTAAGACAAGAATGGTGGCACGTGGATTGACAAAAGATATGACGTCACTAAATCAAATGACGTCATATATAGCGTGTAAACTTACTGTAAGCAGATTGGTACTCTGTCCTTTGTTCATTCCTGCGACCAGTAATCTTCGAAGCAGCCAGTTTACCGCTGCAATAAAAAACATATAGCTAACGATCTACTGTAACTTTCTAATGAATAACTTTTTTTATAAAATCTATGAGCAGAAAAGTTATGTTTTTTTCCATATTATTATAGATCTACTGAACGTTTGTAACGTCGCTTTTCGTTGGATAATCGTGAAGTTTACATTAGTTGTTATAAAGATTCTTGACAGGTTATATGACCTTATATAATATATAAACGGTTGTTAAGAAATATTACCCGACCCGCTAGGCCATATAACCTGTCAGAAATATTTATAAAGAATTTATAATACAGCAAGCATGATGATTTTAAGAAAGAAAGTTAGATCTCTACATAAATTGACAAAAGCTGTGTATATAAAACTATATTTAAAACCTTTGATGTAAATCTAAAAGAATGCCATGTATACATGAAGATTTCTATCTAAATATATACTTTAATTCTTTTTTAACAAAGAAATGTTTTTGTTTTTTTTCAACTTCTAATTAGGGAATGCAATAAAAGGGCACATTCCTGTAATAATGGGTATCAAAAAAGAAAGAAGGAATTGAAAACATAGGACAGGTCATATGGTGACATTCCTGCCGATTAATTGGTGGGTGAAGACCTCGTGTGCCATTCCGTGCATCAGGCATAAACGGTGAACGGGCACCCGAGTAGAACCACCGACGTCCCGTAAGCTAGCTTGATAACATCCTTACACCATTGTAAATTGCCACCAAGAAATACCAATTGTTTGTCATTGTACAGGGAGGGAAAAAGATGATTATTTTTAAAGGAACTGCACTGAGGTCGAAACACATAAAATTTGAATTAATTATATAAATAAAAAAGAGCGCTTAAAACAGAAAGATATGCAATAGATAACTAAGAAATATATTCAAAAATAAATTGAAAATGGTAATGTTGTGCTATTCTTATCCCGATTCGAGTGAAAAGCGTTGCAACGTTTTTCAATTTTGAGTTATTTTTTCATAATAAGAATACATATTTAGAAGAAAAAACTGAGTGAGCCAAAAATCCGAAATTTGCACACCAATTTCATATAAAACATTAATCATGAATTTTTTTATCAGTCCCGTCATGTTAAAAAAACACCTCAGTTGAGTCCCTTTAAGGAAGAAAAAAATTAATACAAATGATACAAATAATGCAAATGATAATAATACAAATAAAACAAATGATACAAATAATACAAATGATAATAATACAAATAAAACAAATGATACAAATAATACAAATGATAATAATACAAATAAAACAAATGATACAAATTATACAAATAATATAAATGATACAAATAATATAAATGATACAAATAATACAAATGATACAATATAATACAATTGATGATAATACAAATAATACAAATAATACAAATGATACAAACCTGTCCCCACCACATCTATCAGAACCGGATGATTCTAGACCACCTCTTGTATACCCGTACTGACTGCTAGCTGCAGAACTTAGGTTACCTCTACTATTACCAGTCATGTCACTATTCTGTCTTGCATTCAACCTGTTTTGTTCCATTTCCAGAAGAAGTTGTGCGTGCTTAAATTAAGAAAAAAAGTACGGGCAATGAAGGGAAATGTTTTAAAATTTATTGTAGCTTAATTTGATAATGTTAGGATGTTAGGTAAAGATTGTCAAATTCTTGTGTATTATATACATGTATCCATATGCTTTTTAAGTAATTTCTAATCTCATTAAACATTCTCACGTTTCATAAACTTTTATTTTGTAATAATATATGTTCATGTCATGTGTCATTTACGTACAATAACATGTACTTCTCACCAGAAAGAGCAAATGAAAAATAATCTGTATTTCTTTACAGAAAGAGCAAATGAAACAATAACCTTCTTAAAAAAGACAGAAAGACAGTATAACAGTATAACATAAAAACAGCAAATGAAACAATAACCTATATTTCTTTTCAGAAAGAGCAAATAAAAAAAAAAATATTTCTTTTTCAATAAGATAAATAATAAAACAAAATCATGTAATTTTCTCAAATACAATCAACCTGTATTTCTTCAAGAAAGTGCAAATCAAACAAAAACCTGTATTTCTTCAAGAAAGAGCAAATCAAACAAGAACCTGTATTTCTTCAAGAAAGAGCAAATCAAACAAGAACCTGTATTTCTTCAAGAAAGAGCAAATCAAACAAGAACCTGTATTTCTTCAAGAAAGAGCAAATCAAACAAGAACCTGTATTTCTTCAAGAAAGAAAGCAAAGCAAGAAAGAACCTGTATTTCTTCAAGAAAGAGCAAATCAAACAAGAACCTGTATTTCTTCAAGAACGAGCAAAGCAAGCAAGAACCTGTATTTCTTCAAGAAAGAGCAAATCAAACAAGAAATTGTATTCCTTCAAGAAAGAGCAAATCAAACAAGAACCTGTATTTCTTCTCGTAGGGAAACTTGAGCATCTCTGCCAGTGTTTACTTCTTGCATCTTGTCAATCAGTTGATCCTGCAGTTCTTTAAGTTTTCTTTCAAGAATTCGAACTTGCTCGCACGCTTTACTCCTCTCAAGCCGCATCTGTTCTTCCAGTGCCGCTGAATTATAATACATCTTTAGTTAAAGGCCCATTATGCCTTAGAAATGCTATCAATTCTTTTTCTCAAAACTTTATTCTGGTATCTTGTTACAGTTTCCAAAAAATAATACTTTATAGCTTTATTCATTAAATATCTTCTGCTACTTTTGCTATGTTGGCCCTTGGTATAGTTATAGTGAATTAGAATTTTAAAAAGTCAAAATACTACTTACATACGAATTAATATCATGTAATAATTGCATTGGCAATTTTCACTTGTCACAATCTCAACAGTTTAAATTGAAAATAAACACTATTTCAACAAATGTTCAACATTTTACCTTTCTCCTTGGTCAGATCTTTAACTTGACCTTCTAGTTTCCTCAAAACTCCCATCAGCCTCTGATTTTCGGTTTCAAGTTTAGCATTGTCAGCTTTTAGTTGTTCGATAGTTCGGCTCTGGTCGTTTAGTTGAGACCTGATAGTGTCGTTCTGATAAAATACAAGACAATAAAACTATATGAGCCGTGTCACGACAAAACTAACATAATGGGTTTGCGACTAGCATGGATCCAGACCAGCCTGTGCATCCGCGCAGTCTGATCAGGATCCATGCTGTTCGCTATCAGTTTCCCTACTTGTAATAGAGTTTGTAAGCGAACAGCATGGATCCTGATCAGACTGCGCGGATGCGCAGGCTGGTCTGGATCCATGCTGGTCGCAAACCCATTATGTTGGTTTTGTCGTGACGCGGCTCATATATATATACCAAGACAGAATTCAACGTGATGCACGCGCCAATTGTTCCAACATCAACGCTCTAACCCGTTGATTAGTCTTGACATTGATTTCATGATTTTCAAACTCCTGGAAAAATCCCGCATTGAAGGAACAGTTGGATGGTGCAATTTCGACTATAAGCTCCCATACTGCTAGTTTTGACATTTCCACGGCCGTTTTTGGTGCCAAAACAAAATAGAACCATCGCATTATCGCATTAATCTGGCAGTACGGGGACGGATAGAAGGTAAAACCACGGGATCATTTATCTCGCAGTCACTCGCCTTTTCCCGTGGATATATTACATTAAATAAGTACATAAATAATATATAAACAAAACCAATAATATTCTATATTGAACGGCTTTAAGCAAACCAATCTTGCAATATTATCAATTTGGTAGCGTTTGAAGAAGGTCTTCTCACTTCATTGTTTTGTTTAATAGTTTATCAACATATTCACTAATTTCATCTAACGAAATGAATACATTGGTAATCAATATTTTATTGATTGGTTTTGGTTATTTTTCTGTAAGCTAAAAATACTTTTTTATTTTTCTATTGTTTCGTGTGATCTGTAGTATGAATACCTCAGATGACAGTTAAAACTTCATTAAATATTATAATTATCATCAAAAATAAGATAAAAAAACTTAGAAATATAAAAGAAATTGATTATTATAAATGTATAGAATGCTGACAGTACCATGTATATTAAGAGGCTAAATGTATTATTCAATCAAATATCTACAAATAAAACTACCCGGAAATAAATAAAAAATAAACGACAACAACAACAAATTAACATCGTATTTTTGTTATTGTCGTTTTCCATACTTACAAATACGTCAAATCTATATTTGAGATACTAATTTCACGACAGACGCCAAGTGACTGTCAAAAACTCATTACATTTATAGATCTACACCTGACTTAAAGGTATTCATTCAAATGTTTTACGGTCTTTTTCTTAGACTTTACAAACAACTTACGTTTCTTTTGTTGTCCTTCTCCATGTCGTCCTTGTATTTTTGCAATTCTTGTTCCGTCTTCTTTTTCATTTTTTCTAGGGCGTCAGGAATGCTTGCGCATTGTTTCTCCAACTCACGATTCTTTGCCTCTAAATCACTGATCACCTTCTTTGCATGTTCAAGACGTTCTAAATTTGTAAAAAATATTTTGTTTGTTTATAAACTTAACCAAACCAAACGAAACCTCATCATACAAATCAAACTAAACATAACTAAACCAAATAAAACTAAACCAAACCAAACAACTAAACTAAACAAACTCAACTAAACCAAATTAAACTAGAAATGCCATATTTTCTATTACTGCATGTTCACCGCTACTTTTCAAACATGCTTTTAATCCATTATAAAATCCTTATCAAACATATATTTGACATTTCTAAACAATTAAAAGATATATATTTATGAGGCCTAGTGAGTCTTAAACAAAAATTACTGACACTACCCCATAAATACAGCACCCTGGAACTATTTTTTTAATTATGTATGCAATATTTTGTTATTATTGTAATAATCATCTGCTAGAATGCACAGTTGTTGATCTGCAAGCAGCACACTTGGTTAACTTAATTCTCCTACAAAGGGATGTAATTCATGCATAATCTTAAATTATATCGGAACGCGAGTATTCTCCCGTTGATGCCTGTCTTGTTACTTCAACAAAGGGATGTAACCCACGCATATCTTAAAGAAAATCGGAGCACTAGTAATCTCCCGTTGATGCCTCAACAAACTGTCCTACTTACTTGCATTGTCCTTCATCTGTTCATTCGATAGTTCATCGTTAAAGTTAACTTTTTCCTGTAGCGTTTTAACTCTGTCTTCCAATTGTTTACTCTTCGTCTTTTCCTTATCTAACCTGATATATGATTAGATAGAATGATTACAGGTTATATGGCCTTATATAAACGGTTTGTAAAAATAATGCCCCGTTCTTGCTTCGGTTATATGTGACCAGTGCCCTGCTGTGGTCCGTTCCAGTGGTCCTGGGTAACTGGATCGTGCATAGGGCTTCGTTAATTGATTGAATGCCACCTATAATTTTTTATCTTTGTTCTCATATTTTACATTTGTCTGCTTCGGAAAATGAATATATAGAAAATATTACAGACTATTGGATTTTTTCAAAATTTAAAAATTATTGCGTTGCTTAAGGTTCAAAAAGTACACTAAAAAGTCTTGTCATTATCAGATTAAAATGTGATTACAACTTACTCGTTTGAAAGCTGTTTGTTCTTGTTTTGCTCCCTGTTTAAGTCACTCTGCATGTTAGATAGAAGTGTCTGCGGCCCCTGCGCTGATGATTTGACATTGGCAAGCTCTCGTTCAAGGTCAGAAACCTTCTTTTGCAGACAGTTTATGTCGTTCATCAACTTCCGGTTCTTATCACCTTCACAACGGAACCTGAAATGAAGTCAGTGTTGGCCAAAAGCTCATTTTTTCATAACTCTGGGTCAAAATATAAGTGAGACTTAAAGAAGCGCTGGAGCACCACACTAAAACCCGTATTCCAGTATATACCGGACAAAGCGCTTGAATGTTTAAATGCTAAAATCTCCCGCCAAAATACAAGATTTCCAACTCATCTGTTCACGATAATGAATAAAACATGTAAGAATCGGGGAAAATAGCTATTTTTTCTACATTGTGATCATGATTTCTGCAAGCGTCTAGGGGTACTGCTCCAACAGTGTACAGAGTTAAATCCCAAAAATGGTCATTCGTCATAAATGGCGGCATGACGGAGTGGTTAACACGCCGGGCTAGTAATCTAACACTCGCTAAAACCCTGTCAGAGGCGAGCCGTTGTTACTGTTGTTTAAGCAAGAAACCTCACTTATTGCTCAATACTAGTTGGTCACAAGAACGGATTTGAGAGTGCGTCAATAAGCTTACTGCACAATCACACAAAAATAAATTAGATATATATCAAATTAAAAATATTCATTCATTTGTCTGCCATATTTTTTACGTCATCTTGCACGTTATGCTATTATATGGCACATACAATGTTTAGCTTTCTATATGTGATAAAAACCCCAGACGAGATGCCAAGTGGTAGTTTCTTGTCGGTTACCAGATTTCAAATTTTTAAAGAAATTTCTCATCTATTTCTTATTTCTCAGGTATTTGATTGGTCAGAAACATGTACGGAATGTACACTGACCAATGAAAATCCTGAGATTTAAAACTGAATTCAGAAAAAAGTCCAATAATCTCGATGCCAGGATTGTTTACAATCCGATTCCAAGAAAATAAGATTTAAAAATAGGGGGAAGAGAGCAGCCGACATCTTTAGCACGCGACAACAAATTACCCAACATTCCAAGGGTGACAGGAAGTATATAAAAAAGAATACATGTACATACCTATCCTCGAAATCTTTAGCTGCTCGTTTGTTTGCTTCAATTTCAGACAGGGCCATATTCTTCTGTCGATCTGATTCTTCAAGTTTCTTTCTGTAAGTTAAATACATGCTAATAAAAGTGGCATTATGCTAATTAAAATGACTTTATGCTAATTTAAGTGACTTAATGCTTATAAAAATACATTATGTCAATTTCAACCTTCTCCTATATTTCAAATATTTAAAAAAGAGATGTATTATTATCATTATCATGCATTACTCTGCCGTGTCATACATAGTATGTTTGTAATATGTTGTCCTCATGGGCTTATTAGCCTATTGGAAATGAAATAAATAAATTCTAAATTCAATTAAAGTGACAGTATGTTAAATAAAGTAACAGTATGCTAATTAAAGTGTTATTACGCTTTTTAAAATGACATTATGTACATAATAATAACATAATTATTATTATCATTAATTATAATAATAATAATAATAATAATAATAATAATAATAATAATAATAATGATAATAATAAAACACCACAAACCTGCATTTTTCTAGCTCATTTTCGTACATTGATTTCATTTTTTGTAGATCATTCTCCATGGAACGAAGGGTGTCTAAGAATCTTGAGGAATCCCCCTCCCCCGGGGGCCCGAGGTTACGCACTTGCTGTATATAATCTGCTAGTCTGAAATATACATATATGAGCCGCGTCATGACAAAACCAACATAGTGGGTTTGCAACCAGCATGGATCCAGACCAGCCTGCGCATCTGCGCAGTCTGATCAGGATCCATGCTGTTCGCTATTAGTTTCTCTATAATTGTAATAGGGTTTGTAAGCGAACAGCATGGATCCTGATCAGACTGCGCGAATGTGCAGACTGGTCTGGATCCATGCTGGTCGCAAACCCATTATGTTGGTTTTGTCGTGACGCGGCTCATATATGTATTAACGCAAAATAACAGAGCTTACGGGAACATATTCTATATAAATATCAAAATATATTTTGTTTAATAAAGGCGAAAGAAATGTACCGAAATTATAGGAAATTAAACTAATATTTCAAAATAATTTCATGACAGAAATATAGGGTCTATATTTAAACGCACTGCATGACGGGTAAAAGAAGACGCCTGTAGTAGTATATTTTATTTTAGTGAGGAAACTTTTCTATGTATTTTGAACAAAATCCGTTTTTTAGTTCTAAATTTGCTACATATCTCATTGTAATAGTGTTCAGTAGAAAAAAATATTTATATCGTGGATTTTGTTGTTGTCGTTCATTGATTGATTGATTGATTGAATAATTGATTGATTGATTGGTTGGTTGGTTGGTTGATTGATTGATTGGTTGGTTGGTTGGTTGATTGATTGGTTGGTTGATTGATTGATTGATTTTATTCATTCATTCAATTATTCATTCATTCATTCTTTCTTTCATTCATTCATTCATTCATTCATTCATTCATTCATTCATTCTTTCATTCTTTCATTCATTCATTCATTCATTCATTCATTCATTCATTCATTCATTCATTCATTCATTCAACATTCACATTCATTTATTTATTCATTCATTCATTCACATTAATTAATTAATTCATTCGTTCATTTATTCATTCACATTCAATTATTCATTCACATTAATTAATTAATTAATTAATTCATTCATTCATTCATTCATTCATTCATTCATTCATTCATTCATTCATTCATTTATTCAAGTCACGTATTCAAATTACTAAAAATTAATTTTAACCAACTACATGCATGTACAAAATTCTATAAATAGTAACAACATACTTCTTATTCACTTGTTTCATGTCCGCCTTTTCCTCAAGGCGAGGGTCATTGCCACCGTACATACCCATGTTTGATCCTGTAACAAAAAAATCATAAATTTATGTCTGTCCTGTAACACAGCAAATAATCATAAATTTATGTCAGTCCTGTAACAAATAATCATAAATTTATGTCAGTCCTGTAACACAGCAAATAACCATGAACGAACATGATCATTAAAGCAATGAGGACCAGATTTGATTGTGTCGACCTTTTTCGAATAGGACATTGAATGATCACCTCTCTTGTAGCTGCATGTTGTACAGGGAAATATGAAAATCTTCAAAACTTTAAAAGTATTAGAATATGTGATTCTAAAATCAGTTTAAAATCCTTTGTTAATTGTTTAATCGTGAAATTCGAATTATTCTAAAAGTAGAGACAATACCCAGCAATTAAAAATACAACAACAAAAAACAACAATAAAAAAACATTAACAAATATTTACAAAATATATTTAAGTAATATTTGCAATTATACTTTAATTAATTGAAGCAGTATATTTAAATCAGTCTTTTTTTGTACAAAAACAAAAAGATTTTAGATGTTGCTGGAGAAAATGCTCTACAATGGTTAAAGTTATTGTTAAGCCTAATTTTTACTTTTTTTTGGGGGGGGGGGGTGGGGGTTAGTAGAGGAAATTATACTGGTGTTGTGAAAAGGTGTATTTTTGTCTTCAAAAGAGGCCTGAACTAATGCAACGACGAATTAGATCGCACACAAAATTAACGAGCGAATTAAATCAAATCGAATTAAATCACAGCAAATTAAATGTCACACGAAATAAGCATGAGTCTTAATTCACACTTGAAATTAACGAGCGAATTAAATCACACACGAAATTGATTATGTTTACAATAATATATTCACCGTTATATATGATTATGCTACCTTATTTAGAATATAAATCTTTGCTTTTCAGTGGGAAATATTCACGGTTTATTGGTAATATATAATATATTGCACACAGCATGCCCTCCTTTCATCTAAGGATATTGAAAAAGATATACGCTGCGGTAAATGATGGAAAATTATCACGCGATCAATATGAAGCTGTTAGCGCGTGAGTGCGCACGAATGTTGCGTGGCTACAAACAAGCAGGACATGACACAATTTGTTTGTTTACAGCGTTACTATGGGCGGAATAAAAAATGATTATTATAAATATTCGTCTGCTTTCTGATTAAAAAACAAAACATAACAAAATGTAAAAGTAAAAATGCGAGGTCATATTTTTACAAAAAAATTCATTAACTGGACTTTGTATCAAAATAAATCGTAGCAAACAGATAATCATGATTTTAAAGGCCCATTATGTCTAAACAATTATATCATTTTATATTTCCCAAAAATTTGATTTTTGGCATCTTTTCACGGTTTCTAAAAATACTCATTTGCCATACAAAATGAACTGCCCTTGCTTCTTTGTTTTGATGGCAATAAGTATAATAATAGTGAATTAGTATTTTCTATTGAAATCAAAATAGTATTTTGTTTGCATTTTGCTACTTTTACGACAATCACTACACAGTGAGCGCTTTTTTTCAGTTGTTTTACATCTAACATGCCCTAAATCCATTACTTCAACATTATGAAACACACGTTTGACATTTTAAAATAATTAAATAAATATAAATTTCTGAGACATAGTGTGCCTTTAAATGGATAACGATATTATTATCTAATATATGTTCATCATTTAACTGAATTATGAAGAGAGACAATATTTTTGAATATCGAAAAAATGTTAAGATCGGCTCTAAAATCACAACAACACACGTTGGCAACTGTAAAAAAAAAATTGCCGCGTACTTTATATCAGTCATAATGTAGTAATATGTTTCTGGTCCTTTGGCATCATTGATTACAATACTATTAATATTGAGGATTGAGTACTTATCCAGGCGGTGCTAGGGGGAAATGAAAATGTTTGAATCATATATCATGAACGGGCTCAATAAAGTCGAGCCTGAATTTCACTCGTGTGCCCTCAAGTTTTGTATATATATACAATGTACATGTAGATTAAAAATACATGATATAATTAAATTTTATAAATACTTTTTTTTCAAAAACCATGTGCTCTCAAAATTGAAGATTTTTTTTATATACCTTTAACTTTTTAGTCATTGAAGTTGTAAACTAATATTTCATCAATTTTATTGATATTCTTCTGAAATAAATCAAACCAATTTTCGTTTCTATGCAAAAGTCATAGTTTTCACGTCTTCAATTTGTACTCTCCAGTTAAGTCAAGAAAATGTATATTTAATGAAACGAAGTCAATACAATCAAAGGTAGAGACATGGTGGCCTTGTGAGTTTCACATCTTATTAAGTTACGAACTATTAGTAAACTTAACACTAAGTATTTGTAACATTAGATCTAAAGATGTAAAAAATGCTCCATATGAGTGGTGGAACAAAATATAAACATTCTTGCCGAATCCCTCGAGACCAATGAAAAGAAATATCTCCACCCCCATCCCTCACCCTCTATACACAAATACACACATGGCCAAAATTCGTAGACACAGATATATTGAGTCTATACACCCAAGAGGTAATTTACTGTGCAATCGTTTAGATACCCCCTAGCACTGGCTTAAGCGGCATTCAAACAGTATTTCTAAAAGTTTATAGACTTAGACTTTCATGCAAGAAGAAATGAAATATGCAAGAACGGAAAGATTCACGTGACCACGCGCCGTTGTTGTACGTTTTTAGATATGCGCGACTCAGGGCACAATGTAAAAACAGATTTTAAAGTGCAGTTACGGCCTGGGAGTTTGATCATTAAAATATGAAACGCGAGACTACCAAATTAGACCTATACATTTATGCAAAAATATATCAGGATCCTGTGGACTCGGGCTTTAAATGTGTCCACGTGTTTCTGTACATGATTAGGCACGAAATGAAAATACTATAATGCTCTTTTTTACACAATAACCGGCGTAGAATTTTAATAAAAATAGTTTGGGAAAATCAAATTGATTTACAATGTATAATTTATATAGAACATTTGATAGATAATTTTTAGTGTTAATTTTTGCTCTATCTAACCACTATTAAAGATCCTGTAACTTAATTCTTTATGGTTTTATAGCATAAATATAATGTTCAAATGAAGATTTATCAATATTGTAACTTCCAAAAAGCATTATTTGTAAAAATATTACCGAATTTACAGTTCATGTTAATAAAGGGATGTAATTAGAAATTTATTTTCTATAAAGTCTAAGTCATTTTTTTTCAATAAGATATGAATGCATATATTTTAGAATGCATATATTTTAATGATTGAATACAATGTGGACAAATACTTGCAGTACATATTTTACATATTCTTCGGTGTTTGAAAATTGTTTTAGAAGCATAATTATATGCATATATATAAAATTTCATTTAACACACAGGGTCTTTAACGGAACAGTAATGACACA